GGTGAGTGGTGGTGAAGTCCCCCTGAGTCCCCCACCTGAAACACACACAACCTGCAGACACAACAACACACGACACACACACACAACCTGCAGACACAACAACACACACGACACACACACACACAACGTGCAGACACAACACACACGACACACACACACACAACCTGCAGACACAACAACACACACACACAACCTGTAGACACAACAACACACACGACACACAACCTGTAGACACAACAACACACACGACACACACACAACGTGCAGACACAACCACACACGACACACACACAACGTGCAGACACAACAACACACACGACACAACATTATTTATTTACTTATGACCTGAGTCAGGTCTATTTAATACATTCAGGAATTTAAATGGTGTATGCTCCCAATAATAATAAATCAAAGTTGAATGGATAAACGTGATGAATGTTTGATGTCTCTGTATAATATGCAGCAACTTGCAGCTCAGTATCACGCAGCCTCATGCGACTTTAAACAGATGACGACAGCTTGTCTATAAAGTATCCCTGCAGCTCTGCAACAGTCTGACACAAATGCAAACAAACAAATACGAGCAGACCAGAGCTGCAACCGGCGTAGCATGGCGGGAGCTAGCCAGCTGTCTGCTAGCTCGCTAGTGCTGTCATCGTTTAGAGAAGACTGTTTGTTGAGTGTGTTGCCGATCAAAAAGAGTTTACAGAAGGACCCGCTTGCTGACCAATCCCTGCCCTCCTCTGTGCCCCCCCCCAGGTGGTCATGAATCCCACCACAAACGGACTGAAGCAGGCCGAGTTCCACCGGATGGTGGTCCCCAAGAACAGCCAGGACACAGAGCTGAAGATCAAGCTGGCAGTCCGCATGGACAAACCCCCCAACATGAAGCACAGCGGGTGAGTCTAAACCCGGGGTCTGGTGCCCTGCAGGGTCTGGTGCCCTGCAGGGTCTGGTCCCCTACTGGGTCTGGTCCTCTTAAGGGTCTAGTCCTCTTAAGGGTCTAGTCCTCTACAGGGTCTTGATAATCAGAGCGACAGCTCCCCCTGCTGGTTAAATACAGGAAGCACTCTGAAGATGTGATCACATGATCAGTGGACTCTGTCTCTGAACATCCTGTTGAAGTCTGTCGACACATTAATGGTTCATTAATGATGCTCTTTATTAATGAGCTCGTGATAGTTTGACAGCTGTTATTAAAAGTCAGTTTATTTATGAAAGATAGATAATAGATGTTATAGTTTTAACTCTGTCATGGCTGAATTCAGATGATTTGATTGGACGTCAGAGTTTTGATTGATCCAGCTGTGACTCAGACCGGTTAGTACGGGGACTTAACGATGTCATTACATCAACAGTAACGTTTGCTGATTGTAGCAATTGCAGATAACGGATAATTAAAAACAACATAAAATGAAAACATTTTTTATATTTTTATTGATGAACAACATATTTGTGCATTTCTTCCTGTAATTTATGCAGTTTGGCCGGAAATCCTTAAATCAGACAAAAACTAACAGGTTCACTTGTTGTCACGTCAAGATTTAAGTTTTATGAAAACAATATAATCACTAAATGATTGTGCCTGTTTGTTGCTACATTATATTTCGTAGCAGTGTTCTTTGTGCAGTTCTTACTTTGTGCCACAAGATGGAAGCAGAACCTTCTTTTCAAACCCACAGGAACTCACTCGTGATGTTCGTAAAGAATAAGAGAGATAAGATCATAAACTTTAACTCGCACGTCCAGTGTGACACAGTTCTTTCAATAATAGAAGGTAATAAAACACAATAGTTTCAACAATATAAACATTTTATTACAAGATCATAAATAATCACGTCACAATGTATTAGTCCACAAAATCACATACTAGTACATGTTGCTCCTAGCGAGGAGAGGAGGCGAGGAAAGGAATCGAGGACGTACAAATTTACACGAGTTTCACTTTTAGGGGAACTCATGAAAATAAAAGTACAGAATCAGAGAGACATATCCCGATAAATACAAACTGTAAAATTAAACAGATTTGGTGCAGTTCTCCGCAGCGTCCACAAGGGGTCAGCGTGAGTCCTTCTGTTGCGAGTCCAGCTGCGTTGAAACAGTTTGAACCTGATTCACTGCAGACGCTCTGAGATCCTGCTGCTCAAAGCTTTCCTCTTCAGCTCGTCTGATGCTGTTTTCACTGTGAGTCTTAGACTCACGCAGGGCACACGGGGCCACATTTCTCATGAGGAAATACATAAATCCACATATTTCAAGAATGGCAAACTGAACGGAGGAATATTTGCTGCTCAGAGGAAAGAAAAGGGAAAATGTTTTCAAAATAGTTTTCACGGCAAAGTCGTGAATCCTTCAAAAGGCCGACGGACGCCAGATGATATTTTACCTTCTGCGTGAGAAAATAAGTGAACAAAGGTTTGGGGTCATCAACACATTTGATGTTTTCTTGTTTTCTTCTTAAAGAAATGTTTCACGTGTCGAACGCGAGCAGCGATGAGAACGCGGAGCACTTCACGCTTCATTGATGTCGTCATCAAATATTTCACCTTTCAGATCTGTGTTTTTCTTCTGCTTCTGTTGAACGTAACACAAATGTTACATAACACAGACGTAACACACAGCCTTTATGATTCCTTATTATTGTGGCTTCATGATCTTTTATGGAAATGCAACACAGCCGCAGCTTTCTTTAACAACTAGGTGCATTGATGTAGGTTTGCTTCAAGAGTTGGGAGGAAGGGACACAAGTTACAGATTCTTTGACCAAAAAACTTCACTAATTAAACAGAAAACTTCATTTATGTAAAAGCAAATGACTCCTCAAATATTACATATTCTCTTAAAACAATAAGAAAGACATCTGCCGGTGAGATTAAGATTAAAACTGTATTTTGTCCTTTTTAGTGGAATATTTCTGCTCGTGAAACAAATGACTGACATCAGTATCGAGTGCAGAAACAGATCCGTACTTTTATTAAAACCAGCGAGATTTTTAAAACTGATAACCTTGAATTAATATTCAAGTTTAAAAAAAGAAGCCTAAAATGGGTGAAATGATTTATTGTCACAACAGACAGAACTACTTTTTGAAGCCTTGGAACATAAAACATTGTTGAAATAATTTGAAGACGATAAAAAAACCTTTTTATTTATTCTTAAATTATGTTTTTTATTCTTATAAAAATCACCAAAAACTTCAAATGTTCCTTCAGTTTCTCTTGTTCTGATGAAATGACCCCTCTTTAAAGAAAAGCCCTCAGAGTGTGAATATGCAGCTCAATGAGCAGTGAGAGACGCCGGTGTGTTTGTGGTGAGGACGGATCAACTCTGTGGAGTCTGGCACATCCTCGCAGGACGACGGACGGACAGAAAGACAATCTGCACAAGTGGCCGGCGAGCGACGCCGCATGTTTAACTCGCAGAATGGCCCAGCTTCTGCGTCCAGACGCGCAGCCTTGACCGGAGGGCCTTTTCTCCCTTAAGGGCTGAAGAAAGAGGTTCTCGCCCATCGGTTGATTTTCCCGTGTCCCACGCCTCCAGGAGGCCCCGGGAGCAGCCATTGATCGAGGGGCCACGCTGGTCATTCTTCCATCTCCCCTCAATGAGCTGCTGGCCGTGTCACGGCCCCTCTCGCTGCTTTCTCCTTCCACTCTCTTTATTGGGGGAGGAGATGAATGTGTTGACGACGTGTTAACTCAAAAAACATGATGAAATAAGATAATATGTCATTTTAATACGTCAAGGAGCTTAAAGTGGATCCTGATGGACCCTGATCCAGGAGGTCTCAACATAAAGTCTAGAGAGTCTTGAAGGTGTCGGGAGTAAAAGAAATGCAGATAAATGCTTCCTTCAAATAATACATTTATTATATTCTTTATTTTATTGTTGTGATTTACATCCTCCAGTCAGAGCTTCTCTATCGACGTCTTGTGACGTCTTTCACAGTGAAACTGAATATTTGAGTGGCGTTAAGTTACAAGAGGGATTTAAATCAAATCCTTTGCATTTAATTGGATTGCTAAAAACGCAACTCCATGGATGTATGAAGAGAACTGGATACAGCGTTGGAGGCGGAGCTACGTTCAATTGCTCAGTGGAGCACGAAGCAAAAAAGTTTGACTTCCGAGTATAAAACTCTGATGAAAATACCCGGATCTTCCGAATCATGAGGCCCATAGAGCGAGCGCACTAGCATTTCCTTTAACCCCGCCTCCCTGTCCTCGGTCCAGCCCAGGCGGCAACCTCCAGTTCTGTCAAGTGTTAGAGCTGCATTCTCTCTACTGTCCACCAGGGGGCGACTCCTCTGGTTGTATAGAAGTCTATGAGAAAATGACTCTACTTCTCTCTTGATTTATTCCATCAGTAAACATTGTAAACATGAGTTTATGGTCTCAATCACTAGTTTCAAAAAACCAAGATGGCGACGGCTAAAATGCCGAACTCAAGGCTTCAAAACGTCAGACGGTGATGTCACAGCGACTACGTCCACCTCTTACACACGGTCTGTGGTTTCTGCACCGCAGACGAGCAGCACTCTGTTAACTCCGATGTGAGAAGCCAGCGTGAGCCAGATTATGACCGATTCTTTTGCTCATTATGCTAAATACGTCTGTTAGCTGTTTACATATCTATAAGTAGCAATATAATTACATATTAAAAGATATTAAATCGTCATGCAAATAAAGAATATTTTGTTAAATAGGTGCTCAACATACGACTACAGAGAGATGTGATCTGAAAGGGAAAGATTTCATCTGGACTTTAAATGCCTCGTTCTCTTTGGATCAGTGTTGAAGTATCACCTTCATGGCCACACAAATAAATTAGTGCTGGGCAACGATTAAAATATTTAATCGCGATTAATCGCATTGTTATGGCAAAGTTCAATAATTAATTCAAAAGTAGTGTATTGCGCACTTTTATTTTAAAAGTACTGCTATATGAACAAAAGGGCAATAACATTTGGTTCAGGAGATGCAGGTAGCATGTTTTATACTTAATGTGAATATAATTCATACTTTGTTGGCATCTTATTCTGAAAACCGGATGTTCGTCTGAAGAAACCGGATGTTGTCTCACGTTAATCTTTCCGCTATCTTTCAAAGTCCTTCGCTCGCTCCCGATCTGTGCCGTTTAAATGTGTTTACCGTGAATGTCAGCATATAGGTGCACTAACATGTAAGTGTCTGCTGAGTTGACCACGGAGATCTGAGTGTCTGCTGACTTTACCGCAGCGATGTCCAGTAGTCTCCAGGGAGAGCAACAGCTGGTGCAGCTTCTCTCTTTATTTCTGCCCCCCGCCCTCGACCTGAAGCGGAAGTCGCCTTTTCTCTACGGCAACCCTGAAGGGACATCATATCTCCAATACAAAACGATAAACATGAGACAGTCTGTTACAATAATAATAAATTAAAAATACTTACCTGGTTTTTTTGTTGTTGTTGTTTTTTAATTATTATTATTATAATTTTTTTCCCATCTCAAAAGGCTCAAGGACACACACACACACACACACACACACACAACTGACTATAGGATGTTTGCTGGCTTTTATCCCACTGTTCTTGTCATCTAGTTTGTCATAAAAATTGTGAATTCTATCACAGTGGACGTCTTTAAACGTCAGTTAATGGTTTAAAAACAGAGAAAAAGCAGCAAATCCTCACAGAAAACCCTAAATATCTGCTTCATTCATGACTGAAATAATTATACAAACAAAACGTTTTTATATTTAAAGTGTTCTTTGTGTGTTTCAGGTATCTGTACGCGGTGGGACAGAGAGTCTGGAAACGCTGGAAGAAAAGATATTTTGTTCTGGTTCAGGTAAGAAGCCGACGAGACTGGACTCACGTGACTCGATCTGTGATTGGCTGAGTCAGAACTGTGAAGATGTGAAGTCATTAAACAGAAGTCTGTTTGTATTTAAGAGGCGTGAGATCAAACGTTCAGCCTTCATAGGAAACATGTTTCCAAAAACTTTCTTTTCCTTTTTATATGTTTGCAGAGTTTCGAAGAAAGGGCTGCTGGGAAATGAAAGAAACCGTTTGAGGTTCTTGCACAAAATCACCTAATCTGAGTCGCTCCGCTCAGAAGGTTTCTACACCTCATTCAGCTGAAGCAAAGCTAATTGAGTTGTGACTCCTTTAAATTCTCATTTACACTTCAGCTGTGTCTGAGCGCTCAGCGACCACGCCGGGTCTCTGAGGCCAAGGCCGCACATTAAAATTCACTCTTATGTTGGTTAAAGTGTGTTTGCCTCCCTGCGTCACATCAGACGCCCTCTAAGGGAATCAAAGGAGAGAATGTTTAGATTGAGTCTCTTCTATATTTGAATGATGTTCTCCATGAGGACGTCTCTTCAGCGTCTCCTTTATCCTAAAGCTGTGACAAATATTCAATTATTCAATCAATCCAAGATGCCTGCAGGAACATTCGGACTGTTTGAAAACATTATTACATTTAGATAAAAACAGATAAAAAGGTCAATAAATGCTTTGGATCCATGAAGAAATCTGCAAAACATCTTTGTTTGGTTGAAGACGAGCATTCTTCATGTCGACGAGGGAGAAACTATGTGATATGTTAGTTGACCCGTCACTAAGTCCCGCCCGTGTGTGTGTGTGTGTGTGTGTGTGTGTGTGTGTGTGTGTGTGTGTGTCCATCCGTCCTGCAGGTGAGTCAGTACACGTTCGCCATGTGCAGCTACAGAGAGAAGAAGGCGGAGCCTCAGGAGCTGATGCAGCTGGAGGGCTACACGGTGGACTACTGTGACCCTCAGCCAGGTAGAGGAGAAACACCTGAGTCCTCTCTCTCACACACACACACACACACACACACCCACACACACACAGCATCCACAACACATGTTCTCATGTGTAATTGTCTCAGGTCTTATGATTTACAGGAAAACAGAAATATATGAAACACCAAAGACGTTTAATCCTTAGAGCTTCAAACGTGAATTAACTTTATTGGTAAACTTTACAGACGGTAACATCTGAGAATGCACCAGATGACCAAAGTAACAGATTGAAAACTAAAAACTGATTCAGCATCGTAGGTGGAAGATTCATTTACAGCTCAGGAGAATTTTCACAATAAAACTTTATTGTCTCCACTAATTAAGACAATTGACAGTAAAAACAATCACCACACATCATCCGCAATACAACGATTAAAGATGATATACGTTCTCCTTCCTCCTCCTCCTCTCCTCCTCAGGCCTGCAGGGCGGCCGGGTGTTCTTTAACGCGGTGAAGGAGGGCGACCTGGTGATGTTTGCGTGTGACGACGAGCAGGACCGGATGCTGTGGGTCCAGGCCATGTACCGAGCCACCGGGCAGTCCTACAAGCCGGTCCCTCCCACGCAGAAGAAGACCACAAACTGCCGAGGACTCCAGAAACCTGCGTCCCCCATCAGTACGTTGTTTTCACTATCCACAGCCCAGAGCTCTTTCCTGTCTTTCTTTCCGTCTTCTGAAAGTGGAGTCTTGGATTAAAATTGTTATTCCAGAAAGGCAGACAAGGAGCAGGGTCTGAAACACAATCTTCTTACCTTTAGTTCCTGTTAAGAGCGCCCCTAGTGGTCAGAAACGTGACAGCCTTCCTTTAACTTTCCACTTTAATTTGATCTAGTTTTTTATTCAGTATTTCCTTGATTCTCCTTCTTCTTTCACCTCTTTTCCCACATGTACGTTCCTCTTTGCGTCCACACATCTCGTTCTCTCTTCCTCCCCTCAAACCCACTAATCATTTCATTCTGTGTGTGTGTGTGTGTGCGTGTGTGTGCGTGTGTGTGTGTGTGTGGACCGTTCTGGCTTTATTAATGTTTGTGTCGGTGAACCTGAATCTCCACCTGCTCTTGCCCAGCGGGTCTTTTTTATCGAAATGAAATATGTAGTTTAAATAACTGCATGTTTATACACACACACACACACACACAAAGGCGGTGTTATTTAACATTAACAAAATCATATTCCTCCCATCTTCACTCCACGTAAATATCTGCATTTTGAAGGTTACTAACTGAGAGAACGGGGGAGACAATGAGAGCAGAGACACGTCTCCATTGTTCGTCTCCGAGCACAACAAGCTCGGTTTTTTGACCTGTGTGTGTGTGTGTGTGTGTGTGTGTGTGTGTGTGTGTGTGTGATGAAGCTGTTTACTCGTGTAAAGTCATGCTGACTGTTACTGACGGAGCCTCAGCTTCTGTTGTTCTGGGATCATCTCTTCTTCTTGACGTCTCACAAGGTTCTTGCCTCGAAGCATGCTTTTATTTTGTAGCTCCATCAGTAGACGAGTTGACATGTGCGTTTAAATAAGCAGAACTTGTGGTTTGATGCATTTTTAACAGGTCACTTAAGGCCTTATAAATGACAGATGACTGCAAAATACGGAAACTTACTTGTGCTAAGACACTTGCAAATACACAGTGTACTTACTGTAAACAATGGGCCTTCCAGCTAAAGGTAGTTGTCCAAGTGATCCCAAGGTACTTCTTGGTTCTACATGTCGGACCACTGGACTACGATCCCCCACTGACCCCGGGTCCAGAACCGCCTGTTGGTCGTAGAATGTGTTCCAGTGAAACAGACGGAAGGACTCGTGTCTCTGTGCAGCAGGCTGAGGATAACAGGGTGTCACCTGGACGTTCTGTTCACTCGTTTGTTTATAATGGAAAAGACTGACAGCTGCTGTTGTCTTCACAACTGTGGGATCACATCCAGAAGCAGTGTTCACTTTGGCAGCTTCTTTGTTTTTATCTTTAGACGAAAAAGTCTGTTTTAAAAATCGTTACATTTTATTTAAAATGTTTCCTCTCTTCAGTTTGTCAGCTGTTTTTTTTTATTCAGTATTTTTAGTCATCAGATTATATTTAACATTTCAGTCGATTTCAGTTCAACCAAAACCAATAATCTTGTCGAATTTATTTCACGCAAGTTTTCATCTTGCAAAAATATGCGAGAAGAGGAGAGGAGGTGACGGAAATAAAGAGAGATTGTGGGAAAGTTTTAATTTTTTTTTAAACTGCAATTTAGTCTGGACTTTAATTCGTCAACGGTGTTGCATTGATATATCGTCATCGTTGAACACAGTTCGTCTTAGTTTCCATTAACAATGATCAGCACTGCTCAGAAGCAGAATAGACAAAGAGCAACAGAAGACGAAAAACAACAACAAAGTGAAACAAAAACCTTCTTCGTGATGCGGTTTCGAGGTGTGAGCTGATCTCAACAACTGGCCTTTGAAAAGCTCTAAAGAAAAGGACAAAAGGACGCGTGCGACTTTGCTAAAGAAGCTCCAGGAGACATCACTTCCTGTCACGCTTCTCGTTTCCCTGCAGCCAGCCGTTCAAACGACCCACAAACAAAGTCCAAACAAGTGGAAATCATCGGACTCCCGACTCCAGCGCGAGCAGACGGGCCCGTTGAGGGTCGAGACTCGCTCCTCGAGTTGTGTTTACTCATGTTTACACCTGTCGGTTGTGTTTTTTTTGTTGAAGAAGCAGGTGGTCAGTTTGACAGCGAGGACGATCCCGAGGAGAGATGTCCCAACTGTCCGTTCGTCTTAACCTTCCACCGAGTTTTCAACGTCGCCGTCGAACGGCGGCAGAAACAGCTGCGGATGAGCTCTCAAAGTTTCCCCCCCTCACGAGTTATGTTTGCGCTGCGTGAAGCCAGACGGAGACTGATGGGCATGTCTGTCTCTATCTTTGTCTCTTCGTCTCTGCTCGCCCTGACATCATCCTCCTCACGCTGCCGCCACGCTCCGACAGGCAGATCAAGTCACATCTCTCGGGCCGGCGCACCTGAAACCGAAACGCTCTCTCCTCCTCCTCCTCCTCCTCTTCGTCCTCTTCGTCCGCGTCAATAACCTGCCATCAGCGGCCGACCGCAACCTCTCAGAACAGGATGTCACATGGATGTGACTGTTGCCGTGATGATACCAATGGAGCCCAGACGAGATGGACATGGAGAGATTGAGCGCACCCCCACCCTCCCACCTCACCACACACACACACACACACCCCTCGACTGTCACTCAAACACCCTAATGTTATGAATATGGTACTGAGACAAAGACGGATACAAACCACCGTTTAACATTTCAGAACGGCAACGCGTCGGCCTCAAGAAAGACACCTTAAAAAAAAAAGAAGTGATGCAGCAGAGCCAGAGACATCCGTCTTTTTTTATTCAACACATTCTTGGTCAAAACGCGGCGCCTACACTACCCACAATGCAACTTAATTAAGTTAAGTCCGTAGACTGTTTATAAGAAGTGGACGAAGTCGTCGTGATGTCACCTCATTGGTGCAGTTTTGCACTTTTTTGAAGCCTAGAATTTGGCGATTTTTGGCCGTCGCCATCTTGGAGTTTTGCAACCAGTGAACAGAAAGTGATCATATCTGGACTGAGGAGGAGCGACGTAGAGACGTCGTATACGTCTCTGGTAGAGACCTGTCAATCACTGTGTAGCCCCGCCCTAAAGCATCCCCTGCTTTGTGGTCTGTTTGACTCTAAATGGACCATAATGTACTAAATGAACATCATGCTGTATTGAAGAAGACTTGAAACTAGAGATTGAGACCATAAACTCATGTTTACAATATTTACTGAGGTAATAAATCAAGAGAGAAGTAGAGTCATTTTCTCATAGACTTCTATACAACCAGAGGAGTCGCCCCCTGGTGGACAATAGAGAGAATGCAGGTTTTAAGACACTTCACTTTTGAGAACTGGGTGTTTGACCACAGGTGTGTTGTTAAAAGAACAGTGTAGTTGTTGTTCCTGTAGTGGAAATGAGCTGATAACGTGATCGGTGCATAGACTTGTTGACACCAGATCCGGCATTTTAGTCTGTATGGAGGAATTTCTGATTTCTGTTATGAGAAGAACTCTAAAGTCCACTTGTCTCTGAGGAGTTCTCTCCCCTCCAGCTCTCTCTGTGTAGTTTAAGTCTTCAGATCTCCATCTGGCATCTCATCTGAGTTTGCTGTTTGGGATGAACGTTTATTTTTTATTTTTCTTCCTGAGAGTTTATCGTCCTTAAGATCTTTTTTTCCTTTCTATTATAGTCTCCGTTTGTCAACAACATCCATTCAGTGCATCTACATTCTGAAATGACTTCTCCACACAGCACTCTTCATTGTTGGCGGCGGGGTCCGCCATTCCCACGTTGGACTCAAACAGCCTTCAAAAACAGTGATGAGAAACACGTTGAAAAATACAAAGTGAGGAAACGATGCAGCCATCTGTGCCAGGAGCAGTGACACCCATCCATATTTTCTGTCACACGCACACCCTCCCCCCTTTAACACGCACACACACACACACACACACACACACACCCCCGCTGCAGATAATAGCTGAAAGTTGGACTTGACACGGATCAACATCTCTCCTCCGCTGTCTGTCTCCCAATCAATACTCCCCCTCCTCCCCCTCTTCTTATTATCAGAACTAATCTATATCTCTTTGTCTCGTTTTCTTTAGAGTCGCCTCCTTCGCTCGCCGCCTTTTCTCCAAATTACATTAAGGGCAATCCCGTGATTTGGAGGTAACGAATGTAAAAATGACCTACATCGGAATTAGACAGAGGGAAAGCGGGCCACAGGGGCCATGGGGGCCACAGGGCAGTGACGGGAAAGTGGGAAGAGTCAAAAGAAAAGACGACGGGGAAGAAAAGGAGACGAGCGTCGATTGGAAGTTGATTGTGGACATTTCACTTTTGCTGTCTTTTTTTTCTCTTTCGGACAAAGACGGGAGGGAGGAGGTGGGGCGGGGGGGCCGGGGACAACAACCAAACACAAATGTCTGAGAGACCTTGCGGGCTTCTCTGCGTCCACACAAAAACAAAAATGGCAGCGTTAATAAAAAAGCGATCGCTAATGTTCATCTCGGGCGCGAGGCCGCGGGCGTCGCAGGCGTGGAAACGGCACCGGGCATTCTTCAGCGAGCCGTGGTCTTTTGTGGGGCCATGTGTCACGCTCAGAAACTTCCCATCCCGAAATGTACTCTCCCCCCCTCCAGATAAAGGCAGAATGGAGAGTGTTAGGCTTTTCTTTTGGCGGGGCCATTAACAGGAAGGCCTGAAAGGACTGGAAATGAACCCAGGTTTTGCTCTGCGCCTCTTCTGCTTCTTTTATTTCTCCCATTTCTTTCCTGTCGATTCTTCCGTCGTTGACCCCGAAGCCTCGTTATCATCTGCTGCTCCGGGCGTTACAGCTAAAACAACCCAAAGTATCGGTACTGCTGCGTCAAAATATCAGTCTGGTGGTTTAGAATCTTCATATTCACAACAAATCTAATGAACAAATGTGCCTAAAAACCTGATACCTCTTCTTGCTCTTTGCCATAGAGCTCTATGAAAAACACCCGGTGACAAAATTCCAAATTTCTCACTGGAGCACCAAATATGGATTCATCCACCACTGATAACAGTCCCCAATAAATAATAATAGTAAACTTAAGTTACAGCACCTTTATACACGGTGAGTACTTTGTGCTTTACATCAAAGTGAAGAAACGTGAAGAAATTAAGATCGCTTCACCCCTCTGGTAGCGTCGCTGCCTCTATCTCTTAGAGTTGATGTTACTGTCCTTTCTCAAATCTACAGAGCCTTACACTATCCATCACTATCATATATTTGATTTGATCTTTTTACTGTTTGTATGATCGATTTATTCAGTGCTGAATTTAATTAATTAATTAATTTGGTTTCAGTCTGATTGTTCAGTCCGTCGTGAGACCAGCAGCTCACTGGTTGACTTTGCTGGTTTCAAACCTCGGTCGTCTGCTCTCCTGCTGGCCGGTCTGTCGGCTCCGTGAGTCACTTCCAGTGTTTCTCCTCGCATGTCGTCCACGTTGGCGAGTGTTTGGTGTCAGCTGAGAGAGAGCCGACAGCTTCACAGAGGATCCGTAGCCAACCGAGGTGGGAACTATTAACCGCGGTGACGCTGCCAATGTAGTCGTGTTTACACTTCGGTTCACCGCCGAGCTCAAAGGGAGGCGTGAACGATTGAGGATCTGAACACATTTATGTGTCACCTCTTTAGCTGACGGCGTCATGCAAAGAAATCTGTGCCGCCATCCATCTTCACAAGTCCACGTTGAGGTGGATGTCTCCATTCTTAGAGGTTTATTTGAATCTTTCTATCGTGCACCCTTTTCCTTCTACTAAAGCCGCTCTCACTGGACAAAAAAACCCACAATTATTGAACTGACCATATCTGGACTGAGGAGGAGTGACGTAGAGAGAAGGTATACGTCTCTGGTAGAGACCTGTCAATCACTGTGTAGCCCCGCCCTAAAGCATCCCCTGCTTTATGGTCTGTTTGACTCTAAATGGACCATAATGTACTAAATGAACATCATGCTGTATTGAAGAAGACTTGAAACTAGAGACTGAGACCATAAACTCATGTTTACAATGTTTACTGTGGTAATAAATCAAGAGAGAAGTAGAGTCATTTTCTCATAGACTTCTATACAACCAGAGGAGTCGCCCCCTGGTGGTCAGTAGAGATAATGCAGCTTTAACACATGAGGCATCGGCTTCATTCTGCAGAACCGGAGGTTGCCGCCTGGTAACGCTACACCGGGGTCGGGCCTGCAAATTGTTTCTCCATCTAAAACATTCAGTGTTGGAAGTCGAGTTTTCATTCCGCTCTCTTTCCTGCGTTTCCTCTTCAGGTCTGGATCCGTCTCAGCGTCAGGGCGTGGAGGGGCTAATCTCTGCCGCTCCGTGTCGCTTCGACCACGCCGCCCTCTTCACCATCTTACAGAAGCAAACTCTGCAGCACCGCATGAGCGACTCCTTCTCCTGCCTGGTACGTGGACGCCATCGCGTCCTCTCACACACTGTAGATCTCACTCAGAGCTCTGCTGTTTGCTCACCTCCGGTTTTAAATGAACATTCGGTCATAATCAGAGTTTAAAGAAGCAGAGACGTGCAGAAGAAGAGGAGGAAGATGAGAAGGTGACATGCATGTCAGTGCTTTTAATTTGAAGGGACACCACGTTGAATCTAGTAAACAAAAGAAAAGTCCTGGACAGGAGATCTTTTCCAAAATAGAATCAGTAAAAACTGAAATGTAAAATAACTTTTAGGCTTCAGACAAATCAGTCAATAACATTTAGCAGTTTTTGTGAATTCTATGTAATAAAGTGTAGGAGTAGGAGGAAGTAAATAACACAAGTCTCAATCAGCTACTTTTTCACTAAATGTTTCCTGACAAACTCCACAGAAGTTGAAAATTGTGTAAATTAATTTTGCTATAAAATCAAAGTGAAATATAATGATAAACTACAGGTGATATTTTATAGTTCAGGGTTACCTGTCCGTCCTTCTGTCGTCCGTCTGTCCCGTCCTCGTGAACGTGATGTAGTATATCAGGAACACCTGCAGGGAATCTCTTCAACTTTAGCTCAGATGACCTGATTAGACCTCACAACTCATGTTTTGATAATCATGACAGTGACAGAAACAGACTCCCAGAGTGAAACACGTCCCTAAAGCACGAGGGTCATGAGATACGCCTTTTACTTGTGAAGGAACCACCTCGTCAGCGGCAGCGCTCTCGCGTTACAGCTAAATCACAATACCTTTCATAATAAAAGCCCCCAGAGTCTCGGGCTTTTATTATGAAAGGTATTGTGATTTTTATGATTATTGTTACAACATTTTGCTAACAGGGAACTCGACAAAAAAGCTTCCAGTGCTGCTCGTACTTATTCCTGCAAGGACAGAAGAGTTTCTCCAGTAAAATGTAAGAACACGCTGCTGAGAAGAAGAAATGTAACTTCCATGTTCTGTCTTCTATTGTTATTTTCCATTACTTACAATAACTTGTGCTTTCCTGATGTTTCATGTTTTTTTCCCTGGCATCGAGATACTTTAGTCTTCGTATTGAAGTTATATTGTTCTTGTCGTAAAATGAACCACTTGACTGTTGTTACTCTGAGTCTCTCCGCTGGCAGCCACCTTCATCATAGCTAAAGGCTGTGCTCACTCAGTCTCAGGGCTTCTCTTTATTTAGGGTTTCTCTCTGTGGTCAGATCATTTGGTAATCTGAAGTCCCCGCCCACCCCACCTCGCGGCGTGTTGAGCCTGGGGGGCTCTCTCACACTGATTGAGGGGATAAACGCTCTAATCAATACTTTCCAAATAGGAACATGACCCTCATAGACAACTGCTGGGCTGACTCAATGGAGGGGGAGGGGGGGGGGGGGGGGGGGGGGGGGGGGG